GGCACATGGAGGGCATCAACATGTCTCTTGTTGATGACCGAATGTATTGTCTTGTTATACTCAATCATGGCTAGCATTATGACTTCGACTGAGTCACTGATGTTTCTTTCCAGCTTGAGACAACGTGCCAGCTCGGCTAGAAGGTTATGGAAGCGCTCGACTTGGCCATTGGAGGTGCTATTGAGCGGCGGCGCATTAACAATTCCATATTTGCTTAACAGCAGGGTCTTTATCGTTTGAGAGTTCATCGAAGGCTCGTTGTCGCAATAAATTGTTCTGGCTCGTGGAAAGAAATTCGTGAGCTGCAGTAGTGGAGCTTTTAAATCCCCGATAGTGCGCGACTGAATTGGTTGTACGACTGCACATTTAGAGAACTTATCAACGCAGGTCAAAAAAATTTTTTGTCCGTGGAAAAAATATCAATTTGTAGCAATTATCCAGGAGCCTCAGAGTTTCTCCCAGCTCCTGTCTTTCCGGGTGCCTGTCGTATTTGGCTGCTGAGCAGATTCTACAATTTTCCGCAATTTCTTCGCCATTTTAGGGAAATAGTATTCTGATAACACTTGCTTAACATTTTCTTGAGCTGCTCTGTGCGCTCTATTATGTTCGGCAACGAGAATTTCATCTCCTCTCATCATTGAAGACATCTGCAACTCGGTTTTTGCAGTGCCAGAACTTTGTGCCTGGAAACATGCGAACTAAGCCATCCTGCACCTGTGCTAGTGTGTGCAGGTTGCAATAGAGGGCATTGACCGCATTTGGATTAATCAAGTCAAGCAGTTCATTTAAAAGGGCTGTGTGATCAGTGAAGCCCACTTCATGATGCCTCTTGTCCCCGAAAAGAATGGAGTTGCGTTTGGTGGGGACGTGTGCCTCTTCAATGACAATTTGATTTTGGAAACAATTAAGCGGCTTTTCGGTCGTCTCAATTGTATAGGTCAAGGACAGCTCGCTGTGGACTGTGGCAGGAATCAGTATTCACCTCGTCAAGAGTGTTGAGCTGTTGTCGCGATAGCGCATCAGCAACTAAATTCTCCTTGCCTGGCTTATAAAATATTCGCGCATTCGTTTCATCAATGCGCGCCTTCCATCTTTTAATTTTGGCGTTCGGGCTTGACTCAGAAACGGCAAAAGTTAACGGTTGGTGGTCCGTGAAAATGTTAATGTCTTTTACTCCATATAGGTAGTGCCGTAGCTTGCTAAGGGCCCAAACTATAGCCAAAAGTTCCCGCTCGTTGGTGGCGTAGTTCACCTCCGGGGGTTTCAATGCTCTGGAAATCATTGAGATGGGCGACCCTCTTGCCCCTATGCCGTAAGCTGAAGCGTCTGTCGTTAGATCAAACGGCTTCTTAAAGTCAGGGTATATGAGCATGACATTTTCTGACGACAAAATGTTGCGTAGCTTTTGGAATGCGTGAACCTGAATCTCAGAGAATTCTACCGGGATGTTTCGCGATCTATGTTTACTTACTGACCCATTCTCGCCCTTTAGAAGATCAGAAATGGATTTTGCTATTGAGACAAAGTCTTTGATGAAACACCTACAGTAACTGGCCAGTCCTAAAAATGATCTGATCTCAATATATTCTTTGGTTCTGGGAACTCCTGAATCGCTTTGATTTTTTCAGGGTCGGTTGTAGCTCCGTTACTGGTTACCACGAAACCAAGAAAACCTACGCCTTTCTTAAAAAAACGCGATTTTTCCTTGGAAATTTTCACAATTGCCTCGTACAGGTTCTTTAGGACCCACTCTACGTGTTGGACATGAGAATTTTCGTCTTTTGAAAAGACGAGGACATCGTCAACTTAGACATAGCAAGATTTGCCAATTTGCTCACGCAGTACGTCAACAGTTCTTTGGAATATGCTGGCCGCATTCTTTAACTCAAAGGGAAGTCGATAAAATTCGTACTTCCCCCCGTTAACTGCAAAGGCTGTTTTTTCACGGTCACGCTCTGCTAGCGTGATCTGGTAATAGCCGGATTTTAGGTCCAATGTCGAAAAGTATTTAGCTTTGCCAAGATTCACCAAAATCATTGGAATTTTAGGCATAGGGTATCTGTCTGCGATGGTTTACTCGTTAAGTTTACGAAAATTTATTACGAGTCGCAAATTCTTATCACCAAACTCGTCCGTCCCCTTCTTGTCCACCACCTAAATTAAGTTTTTGTAGGGGGAAACAGAACAGAACAAAACAGCATCGGGCCCGTCGGCGTAGTCAACATTGGTAAAGTTAACATTCGCGCACCTGTGGAATTCGATTTGTTCAGTTTCTGCGTCTTTGAGTTGGCCAGAAGAAAGACAAAGCGACACTCCTGCTTGCGTAAGCAATTCCATCAAATTTGCACAGGTCTGGGAGTAAAAAAATGTGGCAGTTTTGCCGAACAGAGATGTAAGGCACTTATGAGTGATCTTCGTGGTGCCGTGTATAGAATGGGTAGAGAAGGAAGAATTTACTGGGCACACACCTTTTAGATTTTTATGTGGCCTGATATAATTCTTGGAAGCGCCCGTGTCGATGGGAAATCTCATCTGGATCCCTGCTACTCTCCTACTGATGTAGGGCAGCACGGAGCTTACCCTAAAAAGTTGAGAGTGTCTGAGTCATACCCGCTACCATTGTCGTCGACTGCCTCCTCTGTCCGCTTAAACGCCCAGACGTGGCCGTTCTTTTGTAGGCTTGAGGAGCGCTAGAGTTATCGTAGGCTGGTTCCTGCGGTGGTTGTAGAATTTGAGATACAGATGGATCGACGTCCATTGGTTCCTGTGATCCGCCACCTTTGTTCCACCTGCTACTCTGTTGCTCAAATTGACTTTGTTGCTGTTTCTGTTGTTTAGTGAAGTAAGGATTTTTGGAACCGCTGGGTTGCGGATCCCCCTGCAGTTGACCCCTTTATTGCTGACGGACCTGCGGCCCCGGGGTCACTCTTCGTTCCCTATCTTCTTGCCCTTTAGCGAAGCTAGCGGCAAAGGCGTACCTTTCATGGTTTGCCTCTACCTCTTGCCCTAGAGCTAGGGCCGATGGTAAGTCCTTAGGCCTTGCCATGAACAGGACATCCGTCAGGCTCCGCTTTGGCCTGAGACAAAAACACGCAACCACCTCTGAACTTTGTACAGATCCCTTGTGCCATGCTTGGTTCATAGGATATGTTGACCTTATTGGTGAGAAGAACAAGCTTTTTCTATACCTGGTCATAGTATTGTAAAATAGTTATTGAGCCCTGTCTTTGGGTGCTCATCTCTTGCTCTATGACGTGAATGCCTCTCTTCTTCCTGTAGGTGAGATCGATCTTAATAATAATGACCGCCTGGTAGTGGCGTGAGCTGCCGTCGTATGGCTTGTAAATTTTATATGTCGCTATCGCAGCTTGTCTCCAAGAGGCGTACGTCTCTGGCACCCCCGTAAATTCTGGTAAGCATTTAACGGTGTCCAATGGTTCATTTCATTGGACGTCGTTTCTGATTTCCACCGGCTCAAATGCTTGGACCGGCGGTGTTTCTATACTACTGGCAGATATTCTGCCGGCCAATTCTTGTACTTTACTTCAATACTGCTCTCTGTGCTTCTAAAGCGGAGGCCACTGCGGCCTGCACCAAAGCCCTAAGCTGCTCAGGCTCCATTTCCATTTGACATCTGTTGTCAGCGATTTCTTGCGGGACGGCTTCCCTATCTAAGGTGGTCATCTGACTCAGATACGCTCGAAGAGCGGTCTCTGTACCTTTGAAACGAGTTGTTCATGGACTACTGTTAACAACACAATTTCAAGGGCAAATCAACAACTGTAAATTAAATGAATGCTGACAGAAGAGAGTTTATTGAAAATTGCTGATGGATGCAAAATTGTGTTACTCAAAGTTAGTTGGGAGCACAATTACTGCAATTTTTTATATTTCTCACTTATGTATTTTTGGATTTTATTTTAAATAAATCACGCAAATTGAAAAAAGTTTGTTCCAAATGATGGCCCACTTACATTTTATTTGATCCTAGAAGGGTTGTATGCTCTACGTCTAAAACTACTGCTTCGCACGCTGCAGTCGCGAATGCCTTTTTATGATCCCTCGCTAAAGTCTATGGGTGTTGGTTTACTTTGTTGCCCAAACCCGCTTGCGCGCTGGTATGCTGACAAGTCGCTGCCCGAAGAGCTCCAGCGGCTTCGGTGTATCAAATGGCTTTTAATTGGGCTTGTGCCGCTGACGTAAATTGATGTATGTCAGGCACAGCTTTTATTGTTTGCACTGGTAGGTTGGGTATTGCTGTTACACAGCTTGAAGTGTCTTGAACTGGTAGATTAGTTCTTTACACTGCACAGCACACGAAATAATTATAGCACAAAATGGTCCGAAAAAGTTGGGCGCCAATTAAGATTTAAATAAGTGGTCTTCTCGGATTTTCGTTATAAGACTATATTTTGATTATTTTATCATTTGGGTAGCACAAAATTAATTAATGTTGTATGGTTTATAAAACACTAGTATGGTTTATATGACACTTATGCGCGAAGTCGCTGGGCCGATGTGCCTCAGTGAAAGTCGAATTAAAACTAAATCTGCAAAAGATTGATCAAAATTACCTAAGCTATTGTGTGTCACAACGGCCGCTAGAATGCTTAGCCTGCGCCTCGTGCGCTGCCGTTGTGCAAGAACATACGGCCATAAGCTATGTCAGCATCTGTGGCTGGTGTTATATTGCATTTTGCTGACTCCTGATAACTCGTAAGAACATCCGGCCCACTGCTATATCAGTGTCTGGAGCTGGTGTCGTTGGTCTCTGTTAAAGCTATAAGCAAACAACCATTAAATAATTTGTAATATGCTTATATATGTTTATGTGTATGTTTTATATTGAGTATCAAGCTAAAAAACTTACAACGAACTTATATTTTATGCGCTTACCATACCTCGCATTAAACTCAAAATAAAGTGAAGAGCCGGTCTTTCGACCGACACCTGAATTGACTGTGTGGCCAGGCCCCTGCAAGCTCACTCAAGAAAGGTGATTTCAATCAATTTTTTTATTCAAAATCCAATAAAGTTCTCACAAATAGTAAGCGACCATAAGCCATATCGAAATTTCCATTTCTAATTATATTGCCGCCAGATATTGGATCATCTTGATTTTGGGTTACTGTATGCATATTATCTGCATTTGGGCTTCAGATCTTGTTACCTCATTGCGTTTGTTACCATTGACCTATAAAATTAATATGCATTCGTTATAAAGAATTAATTAATTTCATGTCAAGTTTATTATTTACAAAAAAAAAATACAAATTTACTTGTTAACAAGTAAGAGGTTCTAGTCGGGAGCTCCCGACTAGGGGATACCCTGAACCCTCTTATTTCAACACCAAATAAATTAATAAAAAAAAGTCCCCTTGGCAGGGCTCGAATTTGCAATTGACCGCATTACTTACTGTCGACTCTACTCAACAGCCACACAAGCAAAAGAAAAAAATAATAATACTTTCCCCGGTAGGGCTCGATTTCGCGACAGACCGCACCACTTGCTATGCCTCTACTCAGCAGCCACACCAACAATTAAGTACTTATGATAAAAAAAGGAACTAAAATAACATTACAAAAAAAAGATGCAATTACCATGCTATTAGAATGCGAAGCAGACGCGCATGAATGTGTGTGTGTACATGTATACAGAAATTCTTGAAGCTGCTGCCCCATTTAATTGCGCAGTTGCATATAACTTTGGTTTTTCTTATTCGATCTTTATGAAATTTTTTACAGTATATCTTATTGTACCATACAATATTTGTGTATTCTGAAAAAATCAATTGCATTTAAATTGTTGTTTAAATTGGTTGATTTATAGCTCTGAGGTGGTAGCGGGGAGGTGGCGATAGGTATGAAATGAAAGATACTTGAAATATCTATAATATTCTAGAAGCAACATATCATGTTTGGTAGCTCTAGCTCTTATTATTAACCCAATTTGCTAAAAAAAACAGGATGTCGATATCGATTTTGAAGTAAGTTAAACAAACTCGATCTGCGCGGGAACTAGGAGCATCTACATCTAAAATTTCAAGTCTCTAGCTCTTGTGGGTTCTGAGATCCTTTGGCTCATACATACGGACGGACGGACGGACGGACGGGCGGACGGACGAACAGACGGACGGACGGACGGACAGACGGACATGGCTAGATCGACTCGGCTATTGATGCTGATCAAGAATATATTTACTTTATGGGGTCGGAGATGCTTCCTTCGGCCTGTTACATACATTTGGATTTTGCACAAATGCAATATATCCTTATACCCATTTTTAATGGGTTCAGGGTATAAAAACATTCTCTCTAAAATGCAAAACATTGACTTCTAAATTAAATTAAATTATTTTTAAAGCTATACATAAAAACTTAACGTGTATTTACGATTAGGGAAATTCGATTAGGTAAATTAGCGGAAAACGTTTGTATGAAAGTTGTTTTATTACGGTCCGATCAGTTTCAAAACCATTTTCAAAGCTCTTTAAGAACATTTATTATATACGTGCAGAAAGTGTAGTGTAGTGTAGAAATTCATATATTCTCAAAAATTGTCGTTAAAATAGGTACGTAGTTTAATTGATTTATTTATTTTATTTATATACAAATGAAATGTAGTGACTTTATATCTGATAACCTGCGGAATTTGCTTAAAAACAGGATTTCCTTATCGGTTTTTTCGATTGCTTGGAAACGGGGCAAGTTATCGGTCGGGCAGACAGACGGAAATGGCTAGATCGTTATATGTTGTTAAAGTTAGCTGTTGTAATGCAAAAGCACACTAAGTTCGCAACTTTTTACCTGCAACTTTGGGATATTTGGGGGAACGGTTGCACAAAACCATTCTGTTTACCATTCTAGCGGTTTATAACTTATTTTTAAGCAATTTGTCCAAATTGAAAATTTTTTACAAATTTCTGGGTGAGATATGGAAGGCAATGGAAGTTATATGGGAAATGGTTTAAGTTGAGACCGATTGGATTCCAATTTAATTTTATATAAAATTAATGTACAAATGCTTAATTCATCCCAAGTCGTAAAAACTTCCCAAACGGCATAATTTTATTATATATTATTAAGCCGTTTGGGAAGTTTTTACGACTTGGGAGTTAAGACTGTTCACTGTTAAAAATATAAAGGTGAAATTTACACTGCACTTATATAATCCCACCCTCAAGTGTGGAAAAATTATTATCATTATTCAAAGATTATAAAAAACTTTTTGTTTACAATCCGATCAACCTCAAACTCATTTTCAAAGTTCTTTGCTCATATTCACACATTTCGGAAAATCTATTTTTCCTTGTTATAAGTTTGAGTTAAGGATTTGGTGGGTGAATTCTCGAGTTGAAATTTATTTCTAAGGATCTTTATGAAAAATCTTTTGAGACTTCTTTCGAATTTTTCGCGGAATCCTGAAATAAAACTGTTGGTTATTATTGATTGGTGCTCAACTAGATCCGTAAGAGCTTATAAGCATAATTTTTTGCTGTAGATTTCTTATGAGATATAAATGCACACTAAGACGGTGCTGTACAAAATATTATCAGCCCTGTGAACAACTTGTTGAAAGCGGATCTATGAAGTTTGTTTGCTTATCATGATCGAATTCAAAATATTCTATCTATTTCATATGTCCTTTGAGACGTTTAAAAACAGTACCGAGTTCATTTAGTAAATATTATTTAATATAGCTTACATAATTATGAAAATTAATATGAAAGCACGTTTATATTATACACAGTTTATTTTTCATAGATTGAGGACTTGTACGAAGAGGTTCTGTTTGAAATTTACAACAACATTGGTTGTGAGACTAGTGATGTTGGTACAAAAAGCCTGGTGGAGTTTGCACAGGACGTTTTCAAAATACCTAACTCAACTCACTTGGAAATTTCTGAAATTGCCAGGATGAAGGAACCACCAAACCTAAGACTAAATGTTGAAGTCATAAAAGCTGAAAATTTACTTTCAAAGGATTCAAATGGATTATCAGATCCATTTGTAACATTATACTTGGAATCAAACAATTCGCACCGTTATAACTCATCCGTAAAAATGTCTACATTGAATCCTATATGGGAGGAACATTTTTCATTGTAAGTTTATTTTAGTTATAATTAAAATAATTTTATATGATGTTCGATTTAGTAAAGTAAATGAAAAGCGGACATAATATACTCAAGAATATTAATATCCGACCACAAAACTCTTTGTTGGGTAACATTTTTCTAACATAAAAATTAAAATATTTTAACCAAACTCCCTAAGCTATATGTCAAAATGAACTGTTTTTTCTAAATACATTTTTTATAGGCCAATTATTGAAGGTCCCAGTGAAGAGGTTCTAATTATTGAAGTTTGGTAAGTTTATATAAGTCTTTGTTTACTTATTTTGCATTGTGTTTCAATTAGATAAAAATTTTTAAAGTTTTCAATATCTATATAGTTATCCTTAGTTTATGAAAACCAAAAATTGCTGTGTAATTGCACTCATGAATTGTCTTCAATGAATATTATATTCTTACAAAGGGTATAAATATTTATTTAATACAAAGAAAAGTAATTAAATTCGTAAAAGTATCCGATTCGACTAAGCAATATTCGTTTATCTGCCTGTTTTTATGCTTATTATCTGTGTTTTAAAGCTATTTTGATGAAGCCTTGCATAGGTCTGTCTATTGTTTGTATATTATAGTTGACCGAATCGGGCAGTACATATTTGGCAGTCGACCGTATCGGAACAGTTGTCATAGAAGATATCGGTCGAAAACATATTTTTTTTTATGAAAAGCGATAACGAAAAAATATAATATTTATGGTCTCAGCGTCACTTTGCTCTTAATAAAATCTATTCAATAAAGTCAGAAAAATGTATTAGAATTAAATCACCGATGTGTGGCTTAGTATATCGTAAAAGTGCTCAAAGTGTACAAACGCTTTAATCTTCGGTGTAGTATACATTCTCGTTCCATACATACAAAAGATTTTAGTTTTTCGATAGCTGATTAGATCTGTACCAAATTCAAGCTCTAAAAAGACTCTAAAGGTTTCAAACCCGAAGTTATTGAAAGGTGTTTATGGATTTATCTATGTGGCGTGTTCAGGTTGTTGGGCACTCCGACTATTTTGTTACTTGCTTAAACTTTGAATTTAAACATTTCGATATTTAATTTTTGTGAAAAAATTTTAAGAATTTTAAGAAAAAAAATTATGGCCACTTCTTTAGGTTTATTAAGCTAGGGAGGATAAATTGGACTAAAAACAAACAAATAATCCATGCTTTCAAATTTTAAATTTTTACTATTCAACTAATCTTCCGTTTCGTCATTATTATGTTGATTGTAACACTAAACTTTGTGTACGCTTGCCAAAACATGGGTAACGCATTAAAAAACATATCTAAAAAGTTTAAATTGGTTGTCAGTATTAGTGACTGCTGCCTGTCAGGCTCATCATTAAAATAAAATAACCGGCGAACAGATAGACGTCGCAACATAAAATCTGCTGTTGTACATATTGTATACGTATATATGCTTTACAAGCTCAATATTAAATTGTATAAGGAGCGGCGGCAGGACAGAATGGATAATCGCGAAGTATATTTCGTTTAGTTGCAGAGGGATATGCTAGCCATGTACTGGAGTATACGATGCTCATCGTTAATTTAATAGGTTATAAAAATTGTTTTAAGTTAATAATATATTTCCACATTTCTGTCATTCGCTCTTATTACCCATAGAGCTGCGACAGGGCTATTAAAAAACACTCCCAACATATTAATTCAGCACAATTTATTCAGGGATTTTGATGCTGCGGAAACCATCAAAGACAAGTTTAATAAACTTTTGGATGTCAAAGGCGTCAAAGGCCTTAGTAAGCTAATGAAGGAAATTGCCGTTACTGCTTCTTCAGGAAAACATGATAACGAATTAATTGGACGTGCAGTGATTTCACTTAAGGTATAGTATTCATATTCAATTATCTACCTACTATATTTTTGAAATACTTAAGTGAAGCCAGGATATCATAGCACGATTTGAAAAAAAAAGGAATGCAGTCTTTTCCGATGCGATTTGTTTATTTTTATATGTATATTAAAACCCTTAACACTTTGCTAAATCACTAATTTCATAGTGAATTTTAATTTATTTTATTTGGGAACCGTTGTCTTATCACGAGTATATG